GAAATATACAACACGTCGCATCCTTGAATGTCACGTGCAACTCCACATACACTGTGTTATCATTATTTTCTACCAGAATTCTTCTGTGTTTTTCTCCTCTTCTCTTCCACATGCACACCTTCCAGCTTTCCCAACACACCATTCTCCATTCTAGGAGAACAAAAGGGAGAAAGCACTAAAGGTTTGATGGCTACAACCTAACATTTTTTCCAGAAAAATATATCCTAACAAAAAAAAAAAAAGAGAAGAGAAATTCAAAAGAAAAAATATATATTCATCCTATATAAAAAGCAACAGAAGAGTAAGCCAAGTGAGGGCAATATGAACTATACATACTCATGAGAAGAAGGATCAATTAAACTTTAATATAAAATTAAAGCTGTAAAACACTGAAGGAAATAAGCATACTTCTCACCCTGCCACCTAAAAAGCACTATTGACTCTTATTCAAAAGGACAAGACATATACTTCCACACTTTATCAAAACAATAAAAATAAAAAGACAAAAGGACAGACATATATGCATTCCCTCTTTACAATAGGGCCATAATATTTCCCAAACTTCACATCCACCCTCATTTCTCTAGATAGCCAGTAACATTCTGGCAGGATTTTCATGGAAAATCATCAGAATGCTCTGTATGATTACAAGGTTAGAAATTTCCCAGAACTGAAATTAAATAGATGACAGGCCGGGCGCAGTGGCTCACGCCTGTAATCCTAGCACTCTGGGAGGCCGAGCGGCGGATTGCTCGAGGTCAGGGTAAAAACCAGCCTGAGCAAGAGCGAGACCCGTCTCTACTACAAATAGAAAGAATTAATTGGCCAACTAATATATATAGAAAAAATTAGCCGCATGGTGGCGCATGCCTGTAGTCCCAGCTACTCAGGAGGCTGAGGCAGCAGGATTGCTTGAGCCCAGGAGTTTGAGGTTGCTGTGAGCTAGGCTGACGCCATGGCACTCACTCTAACCTGGGCAACAAAGCTAGACTCTGTCTCAAAAAAAAAAAAAAAAAAAAATAGATGACAGATCATTTGCTAGTTTGTACACCCTCAATTTATCTTATTCTGGTTAATAAGTTCTGGTAAAAAATACCCAAGAACTTTCTAATACTTTAAGGTACTAAAAAAAAAGACTACTTGTGAGTCTTATTTACTAGACATTCTAATGTGCTAGTTCTTTCAAATTGTCCTCTATTCAGTCTTGTTTTGAGCTAGCTCAGAGTGCTTTTAAAAATTCTGTCTCAGCCGGGCAAGGTGGCTCACACCTGTTATCCTAGCACTATGGGAGGCCCAGGTGGGCGGATTACTCATGGTCAGGAGTCTGAAACCCAGCCTGAGCAAGAGCAAGACTCCGTCTCTAGTATAAATAGAAAGAAATTAATTGGCCAACTAATATATATAGAAAAACTTAGCTAGGCATGGTGGCGCATGCCTGTAGTCCCAGCTACTTGGGAGGATGAGGCAGCAGGACTGCTTGAGCCCAGGAGTTTGAGGTTGCTGTGAGCTAGGCTGATACCACGGCACTCACTCTAGTCTGGCCAACAAAGCTAGACTCTGTCTCAAAAAGAAAAAAAAAAAATAAAAAGTTCTCTCTCCATACTGTACTTTGACCAATTATTGACGATTCATTATTGGAAAGATCTTTGCTTCTAATGACCCCTAAACTTAAATATAATTTAAGTTTAAACTCAAAACTTAAATATAATTTTAATCTTTGCATCAAGCGCCATCACAACTTCCATCACTATTTCAAGCTCCTTCAAAACTCTTTCTAGGTAAAACCAGTCTCACTTAGCTCATGTGAAATCTCAAAGCTAGTAAACAATCTTAGCAAACATGGAAATTTTAGTTTTTAAATAGACCAACCATACCTTGCCAATTCCAAAAGTGATTTCCCATAGAAAAAGAAGGCTTCTCCACATTCATTAGCTGTCTCTCCATACTTCTTACCTCTACAAAGAGAATAAACAAACATCTATCGTTAAAATCTCAATTAACAAGTAGTCTGACACATTTATTTCTAGTTCTTTAGTTATAAATTAACATTTCTTCAGTAACAAACTCCTAAGAAATCAGTACTCCCTCTTTGTTTCACGTCAAGGTCAAATGGACTCTGGCTCACACCTGTAATCCTAGCACTCTGGGAGCCTGAGGTAGGAGGATCGTTTGAGCTCAGGAGTTTTAGGCCAGCCTGAGCAAGAGTAAGACCCTGTCTCTACTAAAAATAGAAAATATTAGCCGGGCATGCATGCACACCTATAGTCCCAGCTACTCAGGAGGCTGAGGCAGGAAGATCTCTTGAGGCTGGGAGTTTGAGGTCGCTATGACCTAGGCTGATGCCATGGCACTGTAGCCTAGGTTACTAAGGGAGACTCTGTCTCCAAAAAAAACAAAAAACAAGAAACAAACAAACAAACAAAAACCCCAATGTATTAAGTTAACGTTACATTTACATGCTCTTCATCTATCTATGATGTATATTCTAAGTGACGTCAATTTGCTAGAGTTAGTATATAATCTTAGGACTGAATTGCATTACTAGGTATTTCTCCTGCTATGAGATGGATATCAATATAGACTAGAATAAAAGACCTTTGTCTGGGACCTAGAGAATGAATAAGGTCCATGAAAAGGCATCATGATATAAATAAAGAACACAATATCTGGAGCCATTCTGCCTAGATTCATATCCTACCTTTAACCTCTAACTAGCCCTATAACCTTAGAAAAATTACTTATTCTCATAGTGCCCTAGTTTTTTCATTTCTAAAATGGGAATATCAATTGCTCAAAAAGCTAAAGCAAGGCCGGGCGCAGTGGCTCATGCCTGTAATCCTAGCACTCTGGGAGGCCGAGGCGGGCGAATTGCTCAAGGTTGGGAGTTCGAAACCATCCTGAGTGAGACCCTGTCTCTACTAAAAATAGAAAGAAATTAATTGACCAACTAAAAAATATATATATACAAAAAGTTAGCTGGGCATGGTGGTGCATGCCTGTAGTCACAGCTACTTGGGAGGCTGAGGCAGGAGGATCGCTTGAGCCCAGGAGTTTGAGGTTGCTGTGAGCTAGGCTGACGCCACGGCACTCACTCTAGCCAGGGCAACAAAAGTGAGACTCTGTCTCAAAAAAAAAAAAAAAAAAAAAAGCTAAGGCAAGAACTAAATGAGTTCATGTATGCAAAAGCATTGAAAACAATGCTTAGAAACACAGCACTGTGTAAGTTTTAGCTATTAATATCTAGGCAAGCAAGAAGGAGAAAAGAAATCACACAGTGTGATGAATGGGAAGAGGTACTTCTCTATGTAAAGTAAGGAGACCAACTTTCAAGCAGTAACAGATTGGCAGAAGTCATCCAAAATCAGGCCAACTACTGACAGTAACTAGAGAAATTAAGCAGGAAATTGTGATGAAGGGTCATCTTTAAAGGTGGTCTATTAGATTAGAATAGTGTACCTCAAATTTTCTTCCTAAACACCCTTACTGGCAGGGCAGTAGGGATACTGACCTCTCCAGGAATCTAGGAAGAATAAGCTAAGAAAAGTGTTTATTTGTGCTTTATCCTAAAAACTTGATAACATTTTACATTGTAAGACAATCATGTATTTTTATATAAAAATACCTAGATACTATCAGATAAAGTTTGGTCTCCACCGCCACACCCCAATGCATTAAGCTCAGGTGGAGATAAACAAAGATGCCAAAATCAAACAAAAGATTATTACAGACATTCAATAAGATTCTGTTCTGGATGTTGGGAAAGGGAATAGGTGTTAGGATAAGAATGGACTGATATGGCCCTTAATCATAATGAGCTTCAAACCTGAAATCAATAAATGCTTCATTATAACCATTTCTTTTATAAGGAAGATTGAATTCAATTGTTTGTAATATACTCAACCAATAAGGAACATGACTGACCTCAAATTGCAATTGGTAATTCTATTTTAGAGGAAACTTGCTCAAACCAAGTCATAGGAGGAAAAGGCCACTGCTAGAAGACTTACTTACTCTTTTTTCTTTTTTAGATCTGGAGGTACTTTAAAGTCTTTGGGGAAAATAAATCACCTTTAAGATACTAAAGCTAACCTTTTCCTCCAGGATATAGGTATAGGGCCAACTGGTGGTAGCTGCCAACTTCCATGCAGTTGCAACAGCAGGTAACACGTGGCTAAAAATGTATGAAAAATGCGGTGCTGGCCAGGGACAGTGGCTCCTGTCTGTACTGCTAGCAGTCTGTCCAGAAGGCCAAGGAGGGAGGATTGCTTGAGCTCAGGAGTTCAAGACCAGCCTGAGCAAGAGCGATACCCAACCTCTAGTAAAAATAGAAAAATTAGCCAGGCTTTGTGTGGGTGCCTATAGTCCCAGCTGCATGGGAGGCTGAGGCAGGAGGACCACTTGAGCCCAGGAGTTTGAGATTGCAGGGAACTACAATGGCACCACTGTATTCCTACCCATGGCGACAGAGCAAGACTCCATCTCAAAAAAAGAAAAAGAAAAAGAAAAGGTCAAAAGAAAAATACTGTGCTAATATCTTTTGTGGCAGGGTAGGCAATCATTACTTGCTTGGACCTGAGGGGTTCTACCAGACACATAACTTCCAAAGTCCCAGACAAACCAGGATAAGGTGGTACCCTAATTAGTGGTGATCAGAACATAAATTATCTTACTCAGAAAAATTAAAGGCTGAAATTGCTCAGTGATATTTAAGTTTTACAGTTACATATTTACACGAATAAACTTTTGCATTTAAAATAGTCAAATGTTTTAAAACTCTTAATCTTCATGCTTTTCCCCCATAAAATAACTTTTTATAACTCAAGGTTTATTAGGAACATGATATTACATCACAGCAAAACATGTAGTACTTACAAAAGACTAGCTGCTTCCTGGAATGCATTGACAGCTGCTGGAATATCCCCCATCACCAGATGTTTCTGTCCTAAACCCAGTAATTTCTTAGCTTCACTATCCACATCCAGACTGCAAGAAAAAGATTTTTTTCTAGTATCAAATACTATTTAAATCAACATTTTCTGAATATCTGCTATATTTGAGAATAGTTTCTTTAATTTTTTTTAAACTTTTAGACTACTCTGGCAAAGCCCAGTTGAGTCACACTTATTTACTACCACAAAATCAAAAGGAATTTCAAAGGCAACATTCCCAGAAGCCTGACTAGAATATTTTCTCATAAAGGCTTATCTCCTCACAAAGCCTATATTGTATATAACCATAAATATTTGTTCATTAAGTAACAAAGAATCACAAAGGAACTAAAAAATCATACAAGTTGCACTAGCTAAAAGAAAAATTTAAATTAAGGAACACTTAGAATAGGGCAACAGGCAGTGATCTCAAGATGAAGACAACGTGGTATTGGCATAAAGAAAAGCAGATAGATCAAATGGAACAAAATGGAATACAAAAATGGATCTACACATATATGGCCAACTGAAATTTTGACAAAGGTGCCAAGGTAATTCAATAGGGAATGGATAATCTTTCTAACAAATAGTGCTGGAATAACTGGATACCCAAACACAAAAAAGTAAACCTCAATCCTTACCTCACATCTTATACAAATTGAAATGGATCACAAGCTTTCTAAATATTTAAAATTTAAAACCATAAAACTTCTAGAAGATATAGGAGAAAATCTTAGTGACTTTGGATTTGGCAAAGACTTCTTAAATGAGAGAAAAAGCATAAAATATCAAGAGAAAAAAATCAATAAACTAGAGAGATCATTAAAAGGAAAAACTGTTGTTTTTTGAAAGACAGTTATAAAAACAAAAAAGGCAAGCCACAGACTGGGAGAAAATATATGCAAAACTATCAAAAGAGTTGGCTATATAACAAACTCTTACAACTCAATAAAAACAATCCAATAAAAAAACGGGCAAAAGATTTGAACAAGTATGTCATCAAAGATATATGACAAATAAGCACATGGAAAGATGCGCAACGTTATTATTTAAAGAATGCAAATTAAACCAACAGTGAGATACTATTATACTCCCACTAGAATGGCTAAAATTTAAAGACTAACTGCATCAAGTGCTGACAAGGATGTAAAACAAATGGAACTCTCATACACTGCTGGTAAGAATGTAAAGAATCACTGCTGGTAGAATCACTTTAGAAAATGGTTTGGGTGTTTCTTAAAGTTAGATACATACCTACCATATGATCCAGCCATTCCAATCCTAGGTATTAACCCAAAAATTAAAAGTGTATACCCACACAAACACTAGTACACAAATATTCACAGTAGCTTTATGTGTAATAACCAAAAATTGGAAACCCAAACAGATAAACAAATTGTGGTGTATCTACATTAGAGAGTACCACTCACCAACAAAAAGAATGAATGGACTATATTGATACATGTGAGAACATGGATGAATCTCAAAATAATTATGCTGAATCAAAGAAGCCACATACAAAAAATTACTGTATGATCCTATTTAGATAAAATTATACAAAATGCAAACTCATTGTTAGTGACTGTAAGCAGATTAATGGTTGCTGGGGAGGGAATGAAAATACAAAGGAGGATGAGAAAGCTTTGAGGAGATAAGTATGTTCACTACCTTAATTGTGATGCTTTACAGGTGTATACATATGGTTTCTAAGTTCCATTAATGGAAGCCAAGTTTTTTGGAAGGATAATCCCTTTACTTAATTCAATCAATCAAATTTGAGCACCTACTATTGACACTGTGACTATAATAAGTAAAGACTGATCTGAGAAGAACAGACTGTCAATGTAAAACTGAAGAAAGGAGGCAAGCCATAGGGGAAAAGCACTCCAGGACAGAGGCAGCACTAAGTTCAAATCTCTAACAGAAGCATTCTTGAAAGTATTTGAGAAATAGAAAATTTTTCTGGCTAGAGTTAAGCTATGGGGAAAATTGTGGGAAATATAGGAAATAAAGGGAAGGGGGAAAGAGCAGCAGCATATCAGTATAGAGGAAGACAGAATAAGAAGAGTAGTAGGGGGCCGGGCGCTGTGGCTTGTGCCTGTAATCCTAGCACTCTGGGAGGCCGAGGCGGGCGATTGCGGCAGCGGAGTTCGAAACCAGCCTGAGCGAGACCCCGTCTCTACTAAAAAAAAATAGAGGCCGGGCGCTGTGGCTCACGCCTGTAATCCTAGCTCTTGGGAGGCCGAGGCGGGCGGATTGCTCAAGGCCAGGAGTTCAAAACCAGCCTGAGCAAGAGCGAGACCCCGTCTCTACTATAAATAGAAAGAAATTAATTGGCCAACTGATATATATATAAAAAATTAGCCGGGCATGGTGGTGCATGCCTGTAGTCCCAGCTACCCGGGAAGGCTGAGGCAGAAGGATCACTCGAGCCCAGGAGTTTGAGGTTGCTTGGAGCTAGGCTGACGCTCGGCCACTCACTCTAGCCTGGGCAACAAAGTGAGATCCTGTCTCAAAAAAAAAATAAATAAATAGAAATAGAAGAATTAATTGACCAACTAAAAATATATATACAAAAATTAGCGGGCATGGTGGCGCATGCCTGTAGTCACAGCTACTTGGAGGCTGAGTCAGAAGGATCGCTTGAGCCCAGGATTTGAGTTGCTGTGACTAGCCTGACGCCACGGCACTCACTCTACCCTGGGCAACAAAGTGGACTCTGTCTCCAAAAAAAAAAAAGAGTAGTAGGGAGAAGACCAGTTAGAAAAAAGTAGACAAGAATGGGAGGCGAGTGGGTGGATGCTCAAGGTCAGGAGTTCGAACCCAGCCTGAGCAAGAGTGAGACCCTGTCTCTACTAAAAATAGAAAGAAATTAACTGGCCAACTAAAAATATATACAAAATTAGCCAGACATGGTGGCGCATGCCTGCAGTCCCAGCTACTGGGAGGCTGAGGCAGGAGGATTGCTTGAGCCCAGGAGTTTGAGGTTGCTGTGAGCTAGCCTGACGCCACGGCACTCACTCTAGCCAGGGCAACAAAGTGAGACCTCTGTCTCAAAAAAAAAAAAAAAAAAGTAGACAAGAAAAAAAATCTAGACATGGACCTGAGTACTAGCAGAAATGTTTAGATTATGGATATACTTATTTTGGAATTTGCTAATAGACTAGATATATAATTTCTCTCTCTCTCTCTTTTTTTTTTTTTTTTGAGACAGAGTCTCACTCTGTCGCCTGGGCTCAAGTGCTGTGGCCTCAGCCTAGCTCACAGCAACCTCCAACTCCTGGGCTCAAGCGATCCTTCTGCCTCAGCCTCCCAAGTAGCTGGGACTACAGGCATGTACCACCATGCCTGGCTAATTTTTTCTATATATTTTTAGTTTTCCAGCTAATTTATTTCTATTTTTAGTAGAGACAGGGTCTTGCTCTTGCTCAGGCTGGTCTCGAACTCCTGAGTTCAAACGATCCTCCTGCCTCAGCCTCCCAGAATGCTAGAATTACAGGCGTGAGCCACCGCACCTGGCCAAAAAACTAAGACTTAATGGTGGAGATCAATCTAGACAATCTAGATCAAGAATCTATGACAACATTGCTATTTACTGAGAAAAGTCAATTGAAGGAAAAGCCAGTGAGGAACAGGAGAATCAATTACTGTACAGGATTTAGTTTTGGATATGCTAATTTTAAGGCACCTTTTAGACTTCCAAGATGTTAAAAAGGAGCAATTCGGGAGATATGTACAGATGGGAGACATATAGGGACTAGAGATAAAAATGGGAGTCACAGGCCGGGCACGGTGGCTCACGCCTGTAATCCTAGCTCTTGGGAGGCCGAGGCGGGCGGATTGCTCAAGGTCAGGAGTTCAAAACCAGCCTGAGCAAGAGCGAGACCCCATCTCTACTATAAAATAGAAAGAATTAATTGGCCAACTGATATATAATAAAAAAAATTAGTCGGGCATGTGGCGCATGCCTTGTAGTCCCAGCTACTCGGGAGGCTGAGGCAGAAGATCGCTCGAGCCCAGGAGTTTGAGGTTGCTGTGAGCTAGGCTGACGCCACGGCACTCACTCTAGCCTGGACAACAAAGCGAGACTCTTCTCAAAAAAAAAAAAAAAAAAATGGGAGTCACGCCTAAACCCACAGTACTTAACAAGAGAGATTACATAGGGAATAGCTATTAGTAAAGAGAGAGCGATGGGGTGCAATGGGTCACCCTGTAATCACAGCATTTGGGAAGGTGAGGAAGGAGAGGACTCACTTGAGGCCAGGAGTTTGAGACCAGCCTGGACAACATGCAAGATCCTTGTTTCTTAAAATAAATTTAAAAATTAGCTGGGTGTGGTGGCACATGTGTGTAAATACTGCTCAAGAGGATCACCTGAGCCCAGGAGTTCAAGGCTGCAGTGAGCTGATAGTGCCAGTGCACGCAGCCTGGCAACATAGCAAGACAAGACAAGAGACAAGACACAAGACATGAGGCATACACGACACCACAAGGCAAGAGAGGAGAGAAAAGCTGTAGGACTAAGCCTGGGAGCTTCCAACATTTAGAAGTAGGGAGATGAGGAAGAAGGCTGCCTTCCTTCTCCCCCACCCCAGGGAGGATAGCCAGTGGAGGGAAAGGAGCTAAGAGAAAATGGTATCTCAGAAACCAAATGAAGAAAAGTAAAGGAAGTGATGGCTTGGGTCAAATATTACTAACAAGGTTAACTCAGAGGGCTGAGAAATGCAGAGTAAGGAATCAGGATGAAATTAATGACTATAAACAAGACTATTTTAGTGGAATGGTGAGACAAATCTTGATTAAAGAAGGTTAAAGAAAGAATAAAAGAGGAAGTAGAAATAAAGTAATCACATCTTTCACATTTTCCTGCCAAAGAAAGTGAAGAGGAAAAGATGACAAGGTATGAAAGGTCAACAAGTTTATTTGTACAAAGTAGGTTTGTATAAACAATCTCATAGGAAAGAAAAGTAGCATTGCTGCATAGAGAACTACAGGAGCTCTGTTCTTAAGTAAATGATTGTGGATGGGATCTTGTGAACATATTTATGAGATGTT